CCATCCAGGAGGATTTTGACATCTATATTGAGACCTTCCTCTCAGAGACTCCACCCAGGTGAGTTCAATAGTCCAGTAAATACTGCAGCAGAAGGTGAAAGGGAATGCAAGGTAAGAACCTTTACCTGAGTTTACCTGAGAGGCAGTCCAGACTAACCCAGAGCTAAGATCACTGGAGTTGTTTTTGTTCTTAACAAAATTTATAAAGCCAGAAGTAAAAGGGAACATTAAACTCTACAGTGCAAATCTTTGGGCTATAGCCTGCCAGACTCCTCAGTCCATGGAATTCTCCAGGCAAGAATACTGAAGTGGGTTGCCATTTTGTTCTTCAGGGGATCTTCCTGACCCAGGGATGGAACTCTTGTGTCCTGTGTCTCCTGAATTGGCAGGGAAATTCTTTACCATCTGAGACACCTGGTAAGCCCCAATAGTGGACATGGAAATTCAATCAGAAGAGGAAATGGGAGGTGTAAATGATTCCAGTTAAAGTAGAACTGAAGTCCAAGGACATTTGCAACTAATTGAAAGAGAGGATCAGGGTGTTGTGGAGGCATGTGCAGTGAAGTAAGTAAAATGTTTTTTATTTTTTTTTATTTTTTTAAGACCCTACCCAAGAAATGCAGGCAAACATTACCTTAAAATAGCTGTTGTGACACAAGCATTTCACAATAACTCAAGTTCATATTCAAATAAAAAAATATTGTGTGAACATGGGAATGTTTATGGGCTTAGTTTGCAATCATTTCTCTACCTGTAAGACTGAATATATTTGTAGAATACTTTGCTAGTTACATTCTCTATTTGACTGTTTTTCTACTTGCTTAAGTCCTTTGCTTTTATAGCAAATTCAATTTTTTTCCTATTTCTTTTTTTTTTTTTGTATCCTCAAAGAATTGGAATTTTTTATCAATTTTTTTCTTTACCATTTAGTTAGTGTATCTATATATATGTCAATTCGGTTTAGTCACTCAGTCCTGTCCGACTCTTTGTGACCCTGTAGACTGCAGCCTGAAAGGCTTCCCTGTCCATCACCAACTCCTGGAGCTTGCTCAAACTCATGTACATTGAGTCGGTGATGCCATTCAACCATCTCATCTTCTGTCGTCCCCTTCTCCTCCTGCCTTCAATCTTTCCCTGCATCAGGGAAAGATTTTCCAATGAGTCAGTACTTCCCATCAGGTCGCCAAGTATTGGAGCTTCAGCATCAGTCCTTCCAATGAATATTCAGGACTGATCTCCTTTAGGATGGACTGGTTTGTTCTCTTTGTAGGTCAAGGGACTCTCAAGTCTTCTCCAACACCACAGTTCAAAAGCATCAATAGGTATATATATATAAGTATTTGCAAAATCGAACCCATGTCTCTTGAGTCTCCTGCATTGGCAAGCAGATTCTTTACCGCTGAGACATCTAGGAAGCCCTTCTTTTGCAGACTCGGTGTTATTAAATCACTCTTTGCATATATTCTACTACTTTCCATATCAAATGTTCCTCACTGTTCCTTTCCTTCTCTGGTGATTAGATCTATTTCTAAAAGTTGCCTCAAAATAACTCTGTGTTAAGGCAATCTTTACACTTGATGAAAATCACCTTTGTCTTCCATATGTGTATTTGAATCCTTTTGTCTCTGTGTAATGGAGCTTCCCAGGTGGCTGAGCCAGCAAAAAATCTGGCTGCAGTGCAGATCTGGTTTTGTCTCCCGCTGGAGAAGATCCTCTGGAGAGGGGAATGGCAACCCACTCAAGTGTTCTTGCCTGAAGAATCCCATGGACGGAGGAGCCTGGTGGGCTACAGTCCATGGGGTTGAAAAGAGTCAGACGTGACTGAGAGACTGAGCATGTGCACACACACACAGGTCTTTGTGTAAGAGGAAGTGATAATTCAGGTACTACTTCCTCTCAATATTTTAAAAGATTTTCTCTCATTTAATTTTATTCCCAAGATTTTGATAATCTACAAGTGAATTAGTGGTTTTTGCAGGCCAAAATCTTGCCTTTCTCTGCCCACCAAAGCTGAATAAAATATACGGAGACAGAGTTTGGAGGAAGTAGAAAGGTGACTTTAATTCTCAGCTGGCAGAGGGGGAACACAGCAAGCTAATGCCTCAAGAACTGTACCTCTCTCCATGAGAAGTCTAGGGGATTTAAGAGACAGAAGTGACCCAGGTTGGATGTTTACAACTAGCCCCCTGTTTACATGTCCTGAGACAAGAGATGGGTGACCTCCAGTTGAGGAATTTATAACCAGCCTCCTGTTTGCCCTCCAAAATGGAAGTAACAACAGAAATAGGCAGTCTTTGTCTCTTGTAAACACCTCAGGGAAGTAACCATGACAAGGACAAAGGGAGACGAAACTTGGTCTGAGTAAAGAATGAAGGGATTTCTGTTTCTCCCTCTTTTTGGGACAAGGGAGACACTGCACATGCTCAGAAGGGCTCCTTGTGGGTCACAAGTCAAAGGATGATGCCAGACCATAATGAGTCCTGTTCCTCCCAGAAGCCTTAACTTCAAAATCTATCTTGGCTGAGGGGGTGTGTGAACCTGTACCCCAAGTGAGGGACCCAGGGTAGGTCAGGTGTGGAATAAAAAAGCAGGTAATTGTCCTGAAGGAAAATGAAGACCCAGAAGAACTGGCTTGTATAAGTGTTTAACCCTCTCACTGGGGGGACGCCCACACTCTTTCTCTCTGGGTGTGCATCTCTGCCTTGCTTCTACCTCAACTAAGCAAACCATTACTCTCTGTGCACTCCCACTTGTTGTTCTGTGTCTATAATAATAAACTTTGTACCTATATTTATGCTTTTTGCCTCTCTGATAAACACATTTTTCAGTGGGAGCAAAAATTCAGAGAAGAGCAGCTTCTAGCCTATAACCCTTGCTGGTTTGGTAGTGAGAAATGAAAATGTCTCCTGCCATATCAATAAACAAGATATGTCACAGCCATCATTGATTTCTGGCCTCCAAATGTGAATGTGAGCTCCCCAATCTATGATCCAGCAGATGCTGCCACCTGCAAGTTGATTGCTGAGGAGCAGGGGGAATGCAAGAAGCAAGGTGAACAAGGAAACACGATTGGCACCAGATAGCTGAGGTGCATATGAAAGGAATGAATTCAGTGAGCCCAGAGGCTTGCATTTTCTCATGCATAAAATGGTAAATTCCTTGACTTGATACCTGATCTTTGATGTTCAGACTGCCTGCTCCCTTTGTTGCAAACTTGTATATAGCCTGACTTCCACTCCTGCCTCCTTGGAGCAGTTTTCTCAGAGTTACTGAGATTCTATCTCCCTGGCTCTGAGTCCTTAACATTCCCACCAAATAAAATGACTCTCTACTTTCAGGCTGTGATTATATTTTTTAGTGAACAGTGGCTAGGATTCCTGGTTCTCATCCGGGATACCCAGGTTCAATTCCTGGGCAGGGAATTTAGATCTTGCTTCATGCCACTGCTCACTGCTCCCTCACTAAGATCATAGGGGCTTATATAAGATGAAGGCTCATAGTCAGGGGTTGGTGATGAGGAACAAATGTGCAAGGATCTTGTCTTCTTCCTCTTGTATTGTTTCAAAAATGGCCATAGGCTGGCATCAGTAACCTAGTAATTGAGTCTGGCAGTCAGGGTACTCTATGACCTTCTTTCTGATATGTAAAAAGAATCAAAAGGGGGAGAGTGCTGTAAAGGTAAGCACTAGATAAAGGATGCATTTAGCATAGAGTCAAAGGATAGTCAGGGTTAGAGTTAGGGTTAGACAGGGAAGCCTGGAGTGCTGGTGTCCATGTGGTCACAAAGAGTATGACATGACTCAGTGACTGAACAACAGCAGAAAAGGATAAAAGATGCAAAATGTAGCTCCGATAGACTTTGGGGGCAGAAAGGCAAAGTTAGTTAAAGACTACAGATTAGGAACAGTTGAAATAAAAACTAAAGGATGTTCAGGCCTGCTCACTGTTATCCGTATCTGCTTGATTCTCAGGAAAGGGACAGGAAAAACTCACTCCTCTTTTATTCCCCTTTCACTGCAACATGACCCACACTGATATTAAATTATAACTAACATAAATGTGTGTATATACACACATATATGTATACATATATAGAGATTGGTATTGGATCTATCAGTTTTGTTTCATATAGTCTTCTAAAATTGAAATTCATAAGTTCTGAAAGTACATAACTTTGATAAGGGAACTCCGTGTCTTGAAGCTTCAGCAGTAGCAGGTAGGCCATCTCATTTTTCTACATCTTCTGATGCCATCTCTCTTCTCTCACCCTCCTGCTCATGTCCCTCATTAGAGTGGCTTCCTTTTCTGGACTGGACCATCTTACATGGGCACTTTCCAGGCCCTTGCACTGGCTCTTCCCTTGCCAGGTACACACTTTCCCAATAATGCTCACATCACTGGCTCTCTCCTCTTTGCAATCTGCTCAAATATCACCTTGTTCAAAGTTTCTTCCTGAACATGTAATTAAAAATAGCACCTTTCCCTGACTCTGTCTATTATATCTGCTTTATCTTCATAGCATCAATAACCACTGGACACGCTTCATATTTTTTTTTATTTGCTTCTATTCTCCATAACTGGATCTTGGAATTTTTGTTTTTCAGAACCCTGCATTTATTGCATGTACAGTACCTGGTCTTTGTCTCAATTCAAGACAAATTCCTCAAATACGTGAAAGAGTTTCTCATTAAAAACTTGAATACATGACATCTTGAGGAAAAACCTGCTAATTAGAGATGGCACAGGGAAATCCCTAAAAGATTCAAATTCATGAACAAAATACTGAAATTAACTTCTTCATGGCAAAAGATATAAGGTCTCATTTAAAAAATATGAATAACCCCAGTTTGTGTGAAATCAGTCACGATATTTACCTGTTTCCTGGTAATCATACCCACCGTGTAACAGCAAGGAACCAAACAGGAAGCTCAGAATTTCTTCTTATGGGGTTTTCCGAGTCACCTGAACTGCAGCCCCTCATATTTGGGCTTTTTCTCTCCATGTACCTGATCACTGTGTTTGGGAACCTGCTCATCATCCTGGCCGTCAGCTCAGACTCCCACCTCCACACCCCCATGTACTTCTTCCTCTCCAACCTGTCCTTTGTCTGCTTCACCTCCACCACCATCCCAAAGATGCTGTGGAACATCCAGACACAGAGAAAAGTTATAACCTATGAAGGCTGCATTATGCAGATGCAGTTTTCCATGCTCTTTATAGGATTTGATGTCTTCCTCCTGACAGTGATGGCCTATGATCGCTTTGTGGCCATCTGCCACCCCCTGCACTACACCGTCATCATGAACCCCCAGCTCTGCGGACTGATGGTGCTGCTGTCCTGGATCATCAGTGTCCTGAACTCCTTGTTAGAAAGCTTAATGATGTGGAGACTGTCCTTCTGTACAGTCTTAGAAATTCCCCATTTTTTCTGTGAACTCAATCAGATGATCCAACTTGCCTGTTCTGACACCTTTCTCAACAATTAGGAGATGTATTTTAAAGCTGTGTTTCTGGCTGGTGGTTCCCTTATATGTATCGTTTACTCTTACTCTAAGATAGTTTCCTCCATACATAGAATCTCATCTGCTCAGGGGAAGTATAAAGCATTTTCCAGCTGTGCATCACACCTCTTAGTTGTCTCGATATTTTATTGTACAGGCTTAGGTGTTTATCTTAGCCTGGCTGGTACTCACAGCTCACACTCAAGTGCAACAGCCTCGGTGATGTACACTGTGGTCACACCCATGCTGAACCCCTTCATCTACAGTCTGAGGAACAAAGACTTAAAGAAAGGTCTGAGAAAACTCTTTGGAAAGGTGATTTTAAAAGGTCCTATTGTCATAGATCTTAAGAATTACCTGTAGTAGCAGATTGTGGTCAGATTGTGGAAATAGAGGATGCCTCTTGCATTTTTCTTGAAATTTTTATTTTGGTTTCAACTTTATACAATTTATGTAACTCACTTTTATGCTTTGTGATGTCTGATATCCAATATTTCTCCCTTTTAAGTGTCCTACTCTCCCATATTTCCAGTTTTGTATATAAAACATTGGAAATTCCCATTTATCTCAAGGTGCTAGATAGATCTCTTAAGAATAATTTCTCCTCAGATGAAATACTAAGTCTAGAGTGAGCATTGTTTTCTTTCACTTGACTAAAAGAAGAGTTATGAATTATTCAACCCCTATGGGGGAAGAACCCTACTTTGGGCATTCACAACTCTTAATAAGTTTATGACAGAGGAAAACTGAGAATGTAGTTTTAATTTTTCTCAACATCTTCTGTGCATATCCCTGTCCTAATTACTCTTCTTGATAATACAAATTTTAAATTACTTGTTGTTATCACTGGTCATAGGATATTTTTCTACTAATTACAATCTTGCTCTGATATACAGCTGCTGTCCACTGTGTCTTCCATCATTACTGGCAAATACTGATATTACATGTTTCCAAGTGAAATTTACACTGAAAGACAAATATGAAAAAATAGATTGATATAATATGACCTTAGACTTGACTTTACATAAGATGAAGCAAAATATGAAATCATGCATTTATTACTATGCAAATTCTATATTTTTCAGGTGATTCATAGATTCATTAAAATATGGACTATGAGTATCTGTTTGAAAGGTACATTCTTTAAGTTGAAGAACTGCTAGGATTTTTTTAAAATTATTTTTTATTCCTGATTAGAAATTTCCAGTGCTTTCAGTAATTACTATTCTTTCCATTTCTCTTAATAAAATATCTGCATCTATTCATAATTTTGTCAGACCTCTGTGGGGGCAGAGAATGAACAGTATCAATAATATCCATTAAGTATTAGCCTCATTATTAAAGGATGACACATAGAAAACTCAGATTCTCTTCAGATATGTGATTTGGGGATGTAGGTGTTGTGCAAAGATCCATGTCTTTCCAACCTCACCATGGGGCATCAAAGGGATCCCACTGAAGTCCCTTTTTCATGGAGCTATATGAAACAAACTTGAACAACTGAGTGATTATGAATGTTATCTTCAACTATCAGAACCAGTTCCTGGAATACATAGAATCAGTTTATTATTATTGTTCTCAGTTTAATCCTGTTTGATTATTTCACCAGTTAGCTATTGCTGCATGCAAACTTGCCTAAAATAAAATTGTTTAATATGGCATCTCTCTTTTCAAACGAGATGGAACAGTGTGATATTGTTCTGATCTCTGCAGAGCTTCTAAGGATTCTGTAGTCGGGCATGAATCTCCACCTTGTATTTCAAAGGCTCATCCGCGATGTTGTGTGTGGTTGTACTGTACTTCAGTCTTGAAGAATTTGTCACTGAACAACTTTCATGTGTAGAGGGTTAGCTTCTAATCTGCAAGGGGAAACACATTGATTAAATGTGAATTACCTTAATTTGACTACCTTAATACACACATATGAAACCTTAATTTTGGTCAGTTAGAAGAGATATCTCCCATCCCAGTCAGCTGTGACTCAGCTATATTTTCTCCAGTTCCTACCTTGGCATAGACATTACATTTTTAAATTTATTAAAGCAAAATTACAAGCAGTAAACTGTACTCATTTAAAGTGTACCAGTTGAAGAATTTAGAAAGTCATTTAACAGTTTAGAGTATGTACTGCCTGCTTCCATTTTTATACAACTTGAGACGGTTTATGAGAATTTTACTGTTTTATTATGTATTTTTTAGAAATGTAATTCCCCAGACCGCTTTCCTTACTTCTAAAGGTAATATGAAAAAAATTAGCATAATTTGTGAAGAAGGATGCTGTGAGAAAACTATAAAAGTACTTGTGTAGTCAAAAGAACACATTCAAAATTATGAAGTATGTACATATGTGTGTTATTTATGTATTTATTCTCTCAATTAAGCACACTTGTTAAGGATAGAGTTGGATAATTAAATACTTTAGAAATATCACTAGAGGGTTAAAGATAGAGAGGGGATTTTAAGGGAATTTTGGAAACTATTGTAAGCTAAAGACCACTCAAGAAAAGAATTTAATAATCAAGCAACAATATCCATATGTAGTTAAAGAACAAGACAATGGGTTTAGGATCTACATACTGTTACACAAAGTCAAGAAGATAATGGTCCTTGAAGAGTAGCATTTCTGCATGAAGCCAAGACAGGCATATAGGTGAAAAGGGAAAGAAATTAGGTGAAAGCAGACATTATAATGAAACTTGAAATTAATAACTATATTTTAGTATATGTCATCACACTTTTGCTAATATATTATTTCAACAGCACCTTGATAGTACTGATTAGACCACACAGGCTCAAAGTGAGGCAGGACATAGATGGGCTCCAGGTTAAACATTTACAACTGGCCTCCTGTTTGCATTTCCTGAGACAAGAGATAGGTGGGCTCCAGTTTAAGGCATTTACAATCAGCCTCTTGTTTGACCTCTGAAACGGAAGTGACAACAGAAACAGGGTAAATAGCCAGTCTTCACCTCTTGTAAACACCTTAATGAATAGTCATGGCAAGGACAAAGTGAAAGATTAAGGGATCTCCACTACCCCCTCCCCTTCTCCCCACCCCCGCTTTTAGGGCAAGGGAGACCTTGCACATGCTCGGAAGTTTCTCTGGGGCTCAAAACTCAGGGGATAATGCCAGGCCGTAAAGAGTGTTGCTCCTCCCAGAAGCCTTCACTTTAAGATCCATCTTGGCTGAGAGGTGCAGGTGCATCCAAGGCAGAGTCCCAGGGTAGGTCAGGGTGGATAAAGAGGCCAAATAATTGGCTGAAGGTAAATAAAGACCAGGGAGAACTGACCCATATAAATCACTTAACCACCTCTTTACTGTGCTCCTCCTCACTGGAGGGATGCCCAAACCATTTCTCTCCAGCTGTGCATCTCTGCCTTGCTTCTATCTTAACTAAAAAAGCATTTCTCTATGTGTTCCTCCACTTGTTGTTGAGCTATGTCTCTAATTACAAACTTTGTACCTGCATTTACAGGTGAAGTTCTAGAAGTCAGAAGTCAAAACTCATTTATTGAGCCAAATACAAGATGTCTGGGAAATCTGGGATCCATGTGGACACTCCAGGGAAAAAGGTCTTGCCTTCCTAGGTTATTTTCTAGGGGCACCTTAATTCCTTGTCTCATGGTCCTTCCTCATCTTTAAAGCCAGCAGTGTAGCATCCTGAAATCTCTGACTCCAATTTTTCTTCCTCTTTCCTCCACATTCAGAAGTCCATTGTAATGACTTTATACAAACGCAAGTAATTCATGGGACTTCCCAAGTGACTCAGTGGTAAGAAATCCACCTGCCAGTGCAGGAGTTGCAGGTTCAATTCCCTTGTTGGGAAGATCTCCTGGTGGAGGAAATGGCAATCCAATCCAGTATTCTTGCCTTGAAAATCCCATGGAAAGAGGAGCCTGGTGGGCTAAGTCCATTGGGTGGCAAAGTCAGACATGATAGAACACACACACCTTTCTGTTGGTCAGCTGTTTGGCCTGTAACTCCCTTCAGGGTCTCTGTTCAGTCAAAGGCTTATTACAGCCTCTGAAACCTGAACAAGACTACTTCTATTAAATTCTGCAACAATCTGCCTATATGTATGTATATTAGAAGTTCTTAGGATTAGGATATGGACATATTTTTGAGGCATTTATTCTGCCTATTATTACAAAGTATTTTCTTGATGTATGTGATTTGATGCAACTCAAGAGCAAACCCTCGGAGATAGTGAAGGACAGGGAAGCCTGGCATGCTGCAGCCCATGGGGTGGCATAGAGTTGGACATGACCTAGGGACCAAATAAACAACAACAAGAATCCTTATATGAAGAATCAAAAACAGATTTTATTACAACCTCTGCAGGGAGTCAAACCTTTTGCTTTCAAAATTACAGACAAAATTAGATTTTCTTTTGGTGCAGAACACCTAAACTCACCTATGACTCACTCACAGTCACAGCCTGTTACTCAAAGTGTGCCCACTGACCGGGATGTGCAGCATCACACCCCTGCAGCTGTTGGACATGCAGGGCCCTTGGGCCCACTGCACACCTGCTTAGCTGGAAACTGTAGCTGAATTAGAACTCTCAGGGACTTGTGTGCACAACACACTTGGAGATGTGTGTGTGCTCAGTCGCTCAGTCGTGTACGGCTATTTGAGACTTCAGGGACTGTAGCCCTCCAGACTCCTCTGTCCAGATTTCCCAGGCAAGAATTCTAGAGTGGGTTACCATTTCCTTCTCCAGGGGATCTTCCTGACTCAGGGATTGAATCCGCATCCCCTGCATGGATAGACAGGTTCTTAATCATTGAGCCACCTGGGAAGCTAGAAACTTGGAGCAGCGCTGGTTTAAAGTGTGTTTATCACCTTCTAGCTGCTAACATTTTTGCAGGACAATTATCTGTGTTGAGTCCTGTCCTGGATATTGTGGGTGCTTAGCTGCATCCTTTGACATTGCCACATATCTCCAGGATAAAAACCCAGTTCTCTGACTGGGAACCATGAACCAGAGCGTGAGAACTGGGAACATCCTGATAAAATTCCAGTCATGACTCCATCCCAAAACAGGTTTATACTTTTTAGCTGAATCTGAAATTCCTCTGAACCTCATTCCTGAAATGGAGGATGGAGTTGCAGTAGTACCACCTCACAGAAGAAGCTTCTCTAAAAATTAAATCTGATAATCTCTGTAATGTGTTGAGGTAGATTATGGTGTTTGGCAGTATCTAAATATATCTCACAACTTACAAACCTTTTTAAATTAAGGGCTAATTGGTAGCTCTTAACTTCAGATATAATATGGAATTCCTAAAGGTTTTAGCAAAAGTGTCAGGAAGCTATGGAGTGCACTCCAATGTTTTACATCAAAGAGACACACTTGTCT